CTTTAAATTAAATAAATACCCACTGAAGAAACCCCCAAGTGTTTAGGTTAGGCAATCAAACCTTTGTGGTGAGGAAATTCACACGTGGTGTTCGCTGAAGGTATAGCTTTACAGCTGAGGGGTGTTGACTGTTTTTAAAGTGTGTGTAATAGAGCAAAAAATTATGTGCACCCATGCAGAGAAGAACACTTTTTGAGGGAAAATACAAGGTTATGTGTTTTGTGTGTAAAATCTTCAACCTTTTCAGATGACCTTTCTGGAACCGAGTCATGTGTCTGGTTAAAAACAACGGCCCTCTCTTTGGAGTAGCTGATAGTTGTGTAATGGCCATCATATGCTTTATGTTCAGAGATGTTTCTCTGTTCTGTTCCTCCTCGGTTTTCGCAGAACCATTAGCAGGAAGTCAGCAGTAATTCCCCGTAAGTAAAGTAGAAGAGAAGTATATAGTGAGACAATTGCGTGATGATTCAGTGGAGTCTTTCTGTACTTTCTAAACTCTTCAGATGACCGACTGTTGCTTCTTGCTGCAAATAGATCAATTATTCTAAATAGCAGGAAAAAGAGAGTTAAAGGAATTTATTACAGAAAAGTCAATAATAAATTGTAAATATACCAGTGTAATGATGTTGTCAGGGCAGTGTCATGCTGTTTAGTTTGGCCAACACCAAAGCTAATATAAAATCCGTCTGTTTGACACATTGGCTTGTTTTCTGGCTGTAGTTTCATGATAGTTGTCAATTGACAACTGCTTGAAGCATTCAACAAGATTTTAGGAAGGAGTAGACCAGATATTTAAATTTCTTATATTTTACTTTAAAATGTTGATAGAAATAAATATAAGGAAGCCTTTTAGGGAAAGATGAAAATACTTATCTCTAATTGCTTAGGAACTCAGTTCTGCAAATGTTCTCAACATTTCTTTGAAGCTGAGTTTTCTCCATGACTTGTATATTCTTAAATTTACTGTCAAGAAAAGATGTAATTGTTAACATCTGGAATCTTTCCGAAAACATGCAAAAGAGAGTGCTTCTATTTTTTTTTTTTCCCCCGACATGGAAAGCTTTTGTAAGGTAATTAACGTATGGGGGAGCCTAGGTAGATGTTCAGAAGCCCAAGAAATGTATTTTATCAAAGGCAGCCTTGCAGATTATCATTTGTAGGGTTTAGTGGGTGTCCATAGCAAGCTTTTCAGAGAAGACGCTGTTATCTGTCGCTTGGAACTTGTGTATCGGACCCCTGCAAGGCCGTTCCCTGTGTTTCTGGAGCTCTGCCTTCCGGATGCCGGTTTCCACGTAGGGTTTCCTCTTGATTTCTGGATGTCTTGGTCATTTCCTCAATGTAATGTTTTCTTGGAATATCCTGTGAATAAAAATCTTTGCTTTTTTGCCCAGGAGTTTGGCTTAGCTAGAGAAAACTTCAGGGTTTCTATTTGTTGATTTCTGTTTCTGTTTCTTTTTATTGTGTGGAAAGAAGGTGATAAGCGGTGTAGCAAGATGGGTGTGTTTTACAGGAACTCCCCTGCTGCCACCACTGCACAGTTCTCCACACGAATCTTTCCCCAGATGTGGAATTTGCATGGCAATTTTTTCAGTCTTCCAAGTAAAAGCTTCTGCCAATGCAGATATCGTGGAGTGTAATGCCAACTCTTTTTATATGAAATCTAGGATTAGCTGTATGGATTATGTGAGATAAAAAAGCCCGAATCGCCCTTATGTTGTTTCCTGCTTTTGTTGCATAGACACCTTAGACTTACTAACTTTTTCTTAGGGTTCTGCTTCGTAGTCTCTAAGTGTAGGTGTAAGAAACTAAGCTGTTACTCCAGGGTATCTCACGGCCCCCCTTAGAGAAATTCCTGCTCCTCAGCACACGTGGCAGAAGAGGCAGGCGCTGTGTCGGGCCCTCGGCTTTTCCAGGGTGTAGCCTGGCGCTTTAGCACAAGCTGAATCTGGGGTTGAACTGTGCACCCGTTACCTTTTGCAGCAAGGTGCTTCACTGCAGGGGTGGAGCAGAAAAACAACCAGTTCCATTGCTTCCACGGAACCTAAGCAGTACTAGGTACCAGGAACTCAGAAAGTGCATTACCAGATCTCCAGTTTCGGGATTTCAGGCGTTGCATTGACTGGGTTCAGCTTGATAACATAAATGGTGATGGCATCAGGAGTGGGTGGGAGATCAGCCTTCGTTTTAACGCCAGTTAATTTATTTGGTTTTGTTATTGCAGAGAATGCTGTGTTGTGGTGCTCTGGCAGCCCTCGTGCTGCAGCTTATCTTCCTGCAGTTCCTGCGCATGTATTGTGAATCTAAGGCTCTTAAGAATTAAATCCATCAAATGTATCAAGCTAGTTCTAAAATCATACTTTAAGGCTCATGGTGTGTTTTTTCCAAGGCTTGGTGTGGTTCACTTGTTTATGGTGGTTTTCCACCTAATAACTGTTAGGGATGTAAATTAAGATAAAGCTATTTTCAAATTTATATGAGAAATGAAATTTGCTGTCAGTTGTTTCGGGAACTCCATCAGATATTAAGACCAGAAGTAGAGTAGCAGTGGCAGCAGTGTACCTGATACACCTGAAGCAATGATTTACCTTCAGCCTTTCCCTGTTCTCTAGGCAATCGGAAGTGTGTGTGTTGGGTGTACTGGTAGCACTGGCCCATCCGCACTGCATTTCTGCGCAGGGACGGGACAAGGGCAAGTGCAGGGTCCTGCACCTGGGGAGGAACAACCCCATGCACCAGTACAGGCTTGGGGTGGACCTGCTGGAGAGCAGCTCTGCGGAGAGGGACCTGGGTGTCCTGGTGGACGACAGGTTAACCATGAGCA